TAGTTTCTGATTTACAGGAGATTTACTTGGAACTTTACTGTCCGTACTGAAAAAACAAGAATACTGTTCGTTTTGTTTCTTCTAATTTCTAACTCATCTGACTAGCAATAAAATAACTACAGAAAATAAGTGTGAAAAAAGGTGAATGTGTAACCTCTGACCATAAGTACTTTGAAATTTTACAATCACTACTAACAATAATATACATTTTATTTTGTAACCTTTATTTTCGTTATACTTTGGTTACTTAACCACCACCTGGATAAATAAGTATAATGTTACGGTACTCCTTTCATCTCTAATTTATTCACCACCCCTCCGAGAAGTATGAAATTTAATGCAAATTATTCATTATAATAATGTTATCACTCAGGCAAATGTTTATTCTAAATAGCTTAAATCTCTTAACAGTATAAATCTATTTATATATACATATTTAATTTTTGTTTTATTGACCTTTGAACCATGTCTGACTAAAAAATACCCCAACAGAAGTTTAAAATTACATGGCACACCTATCGAACAGCGTAATGCAGAAGCTTCTGGTGTGGATACCCCATGAACGTTATTTATTATTTTTCCTTCGTTATTTTACCTAACAACTTTCTATTTTCATGATTTTAGTTACTTTTATAATAATAAACAGTGAAAACAAATGAAAAATAAAAAACTTCGTAATTAAATATCAAGCATTTTTATTTTCAGTAAAGCTTTATATTTTTTTTACCTAGAGAGCAAATATCACAATTCTCACACTAGGGGGAGATTGAAGATTATTTATAATATTTCCTTATAAAATGAAGAACTTAAAACTTGTATAATATTAAAACCTGATTTATTAATTATGTTTTTATACCAAGTTCATTTGTATACATTTATAATAAAATAGTTTCATTAAATTTTGAATGTAACTAAAAAGTCATTGCATGCACACTTTGACCTGTCTGAAGGAAGAGGATTAAATGAATTCTACTCAAACATAGGTGCTTCTCAAGACAAATCAAATAAGTGAACTTATATTACAGAGATAGTAACATGAAACAGTTAGTATGTGAAATACCTGTTGATTCTGTGTTAACCCGTTGATCATGCTTAGTGTAATATCAACTTAATGATATCTGATTATTCTAATTTTCTTTGAGTAAGATTCTGTTTTACTTGTAAAATCTAACTAATTTTGGTTTTAACAGTTTCACCTCTCTGACTTCATTAACTATTCTTGTTGTTAGTGTTGGATTTGTATAAAAAATTATTTCTTCATGTGTGTTCTTAAAACAACAGCTCACAAGAGTGTAGATGATCAGGATGTATTGAGTTCATGTTTGTTCTTAAAACAACAGCTGACAAGAGCGTAGATGATCAGGATGTATTGAGTTCATGTTTGTTCTTAAAACAACAGCTGACAAGAGCGTAGATGATCAGGATGTATTGAGTTCATGTTTGTTCTTAAAACAACAGCTGACAGAGCGTAGATGATCAGGATGTATTGAGAATCTTTGTGTGTTTTTAATTGTTTTTATTTTAATCTACTTTCCACCATATTTAGTGAATCTGATGTACACAGAGATTAAATGTATGTCTTTTGATTAAAGTTAGACATGAAAAAGATTTTTCACCCCAGTTTTAATAGTTTTATTACTAAATTTACCTGTCATGCCATAATTTTGTTTTAAAATAATAAGTAAAGCTAATACTTGAAAGGTATTCTGTGAGCCTTTTAAAAGTGAACCAAAGATTTGGGTACCGTGTACATGATATCAAGCTGCTAACAAAGATTTGGGTGCCGTGTACATGATATCAAGCTGCTAACAAAGATTTGGGTACTGTTTACACATTATTAGGCTGCTATCAAAGATTTGGGTACTGTTTACACATTATCAGGATGCTATCAAAGATTTGGGTACTGTGTACTCATTATCAACTGCTATCAAAGATTTGTGTACTGTGTACATATTATCAACTGGTATCAAAGATTTGTGTACTGTGTACACATTATCAACTGCTATCAAAGATTTGTGTACTGTGTACACATTATCAAGCTGCTATTAAAGATTTGTGTACTGTGTACACATTATCAAGCTGCTATTAAAGATTTTAATAAGTAGATAATCATAATTATGAAATCTTGTTAGGGGCTTGTTTCATGCCTTTATATAACGTACAGTTTCACTTTCTCAGGTGCTGTTGTGGAAACACTGTCTAAATACCAAACCATGTTATTGCTCAGTAGAATCTCAGGTGTTTCATCAAAGTACCGATGAACTAATAGCGCTCCTGGGGTCACAGGAAGGAGCCCAGACATCAGTTTTCCACATGAAAGATTCTCGTGTCAACACAGTACAGCCTCAGTCCTTGTCACCACCATGGTACCTATCACAGCCGGAAGATATGGTCAAGTTATTAAAAGTTCAGGGCTTGTGCTTAAACCACACTGTCCAAGAGAGACTTCAGGCACCGTTGACTGGAGTGTGTTCCATTCCTCATCCAGATTCTTCTGGATTCACAGCTTTTCAAATGACCTCTTTTTGTGATTTATTCTTTCAAGACTTTTATGCTGACAAACCTTCTGAAGATAAAACCTTCAATGTAAGTGCCGGTTGCCCTCTTATACCACCTTCACTAGTTACTGATGAGTACAACTGGTGGCTCGAAGCTGCGAGGGTGAAAAGTAACGGTGACATAAAGAAAGCTAAGTTTCTCAAGAGGGTAGACTGTACAGAAGAATTTATGGGTAAAAATCTTGTACATCTGTATGAAGCTGTAACGTAACATTAGTTTTAGTTTAGAGAAGATTTCTAATAATTGATTCAGCACTTAAATTGCCATTAAAAAAATCACTAATTTTAGTAAATTACAGTTTCATCAAAACAAAGTAATAATAAGTTATTTCTGTTTTTCACTAAATTTTAAAAGAATTTCAGATTTTATTTTAATAAACTGTGCAGCTCTGATTAGTGTGTTATGTGTTCAGTTAGTTTTCATTGTTTGAGATTCCTTAGAAAGTCTGTTTAGTGTGTCATGTGTTCAATTAGTTTTCATTGTTTGATATTCCTTACAAAGTCTGTTTAGTGTGTTATGTGTTCAGTTAGTTTCATTGTTTGAGATTCCTTACAAAGTCTGTTTAGTGTGTTATGTGTTCAGTTAGTTTTCATTGTTTGAGATTCCTTACAAAGTCTGTTTAGTGTGTTATGTGTTCAGTTAGTTTCATTGTTTGAGATTCCTTACAAAGTCTGTTTAGTGTGTTCAGTTAGTTCTTATTGTTTGAGATTCCTTACAAAGTCTGTTTAGTGTGTTCAGTTAGTTCTTATTGTTTGA